GGACAAAGTTTGTAATAAGCAATAAAAAGAAAAAAGAAAAGGACAGAGTAAAAACTAATATACATCAAGCAAACAATATATGTAAGGCAAATTAACAGTAATATGGCAAAGCAACAGAGATATGGCCAAAAGTTCACAGATTAAGAATTGGGGTTGGCACACAAGAGCAAGTTCAAATAAGCAAACATAATGTTCTGACTTCAAGACAAGACAGACTGGGACTGAGTTAGATGAAACCAACAACAGGACTGTTTTATTGGCTGGGAAAAAATCCCAGAATGCATTCATGTACTTCTACCTATAAATTGATAAGGGGAAAGTGTTTTGCAGTCATTTCTGATAGATTGGGATCAAGATTATTACATTTTCTGAACAGGCTGCAGAAATTAGTTTAATATTGGATACTTTAGATACTATTAATAAGATTTTGACATCCAAGAAAAAAATACTTTACAATCATAAGAAATTCTTGTTAAATCTTGAGAGATGTTTATAGCAAAGTGCAGAAATAACCTGCTATGTACTAACAGGTATCTAAATCCTTATGGCAGTTTACACCATGCTAATAATTGAAAAATTATGGGGAGAAATAGTAATGGGTAAGTTCATATCTAAAATTAAAAACTCCAAGATTGTAATTCCAAAAGATAAAGTTACAGATAAAGTTCACTTTTTTCAGAAACAGTCATTCACTCCTGTAGTTCACTGCTACTAACAAGCAGGGATTTTTTTTCTCCTGATGATGGCCATGCTGGCTGAAACTAGTTGAAGAACCTAATTGAAATAATAAAATAAAAAATATTAATATCCAACCCAGTGTGTCTGAAAATTTTAATTTTTATTGTTTTAAAATATATATATATATATATATATATATATATATATATATATATATATATATATATACACACACACACACACACATATATATATATATATATATACACACACAACACACACGTTTTACTGTCTTCTTCAATATACCACTTCTGTAATAATGTCTCTTCATGCCTGCCTATCTCTTGTAGCCCTTAGCAATGTTTGTCCCTTAGCCAAGATTCTCACCACCCACATTCCATCATCCATTCCTACAAGCTCATCAGATTGGTTGCCAACTGCCTTCTGTCCTATTTCCTTTGTTATGTCCAGTGAGTGTCAAATTCTCCAAGCCTTCCTACCTCAAGTAATTTGAGCTGTCTTGTTAAGACTTCTTAATAAATACTAAATGTTGCAAATAAATTTAAATTCACTTAATTTTAACAAAATGGACACACTAAAAATATTTCCCTAGTTTATCAATTTCAGACATTTTAAAAAGATTTTTTATTCTTTATTTAAATTATCATTTTATCAAAAACCTGAAATTATTTCTTTTTGAACATTTTTTTCTATCATTTATTAAAACAATGTTTAATTAACATTCATGTAAGATCATGAGATGTATTTTTCGATAAGTAAATAGGAGCATACTTGAACAAATTGAGGTTTGTATGTGAATTGATAATAAAAGATAGATGTGGAACTTATATAATGAGACAGGTAGGTATAAATTGATTGCCAGTTAGCTGTTATTAACAAAGTGTATTTTGGGTTGATCACTAATTAAGGTGCACTAAAGTGCATCTTGTTTTTCTCCCCACATTCAGGAGAAAGGTCAGAGAATTTTTTTTGCCAGAATCCATCTTGTACATTTATAAATCTGCCATTTGTCTATGCATTGAATCCTGCTGCCATATCTAGTCTGGTGTTCTTGCTGTATATCTCGAGATTCTGAACAAAATTCAAAGAAGGGTCTGTGATGTTATTGCTCCTGATCGGGCATTTTGGTTTCAGTCACTTTCTATAAATATTTTCACAGGAATTGTCAAAATGAGCTTTCCTCTTTGGTACCTCAGCCTCATGAATTTAAGTGCAGTATTAGATTGGCAGCTCGGTCTTGTCATTTTACTGTCAAAATAGATGTAACAGTAAGATTTATTCTAACAGTTTATTTGCATGCACTTCTCACCTGTGGAATTCTTTCGGTTTCTTGTTTTCCTGCCAACTATGATCTTCAAGAATATAAATGCAAGTCACCATCTTCTGAAACCTGTTTTTCATTATCCTTTCTCTTCACTAACATTTTCTCATATTTTTCTCTCTCAATAATCCCTTGCATCTTAGTGGCATTAATGCCTTGCCTGGGAAGAAATGATTAAAAAAATGTATTTTTGTAGATAGGGTCAACATGCAGTAAAATATTGCAAAAAGTAAACAGCAATGGAATATCCAAAAATGCAAAAGTCTGAAACCAACCCATAGATAAGGGATTTTTAGATCTTTGTAGGGATCATCATTTGGCTACCATATTACAGTTTCAGATATTCAACAGCAAAACTGATATTTGTAAGAACATGGTTCATGACATACCACATTCCCTGAAATTTCTCCTTGGGTTTTGAGTAAAGATCTAGACCCTTGGAATGGTCTTGGGTAAGGATCTAAACCAGTGATTCTCAACCTTTTTTGACCCATGGATCACCTTTACTCTTAATTTTTTTGGTGGACCCCCATAACCATTTGATGAAAAAAAGCTTATTTTCTTTTTTATTAATAGATAAGTTTAGGAATTGTATTATAGAAATAGTAAATGTATATGCTTTATTTTGAAGTAAAACTAATTTAATGAAAATAAACTTGTATTTAACAACTAAATTCTAAGGAACATTTATGTACACTAGTAAAATAATTCCTAATAAACCATTTAAAATTTTTTTACAATCAAAACATTTGGTAGAGTAAAAGGGACACTATAACTTACATCATTTGATTTCGTTTTCTGCTAGTTTTAGAGTTGTTTTTCTATTTTTAGTATTTTAATATGGCGGAGATTGCTGTAGAAATTCCAATTCTCAGTTGTAACAACCGTTCCAAAGTGAAATTGCTCTATGGACCTCTAAAATATTACTATGGACACCCAATTTGCTATTTTTCTTTTTTTTTGTGTGTGTGTGTGTGTGGACCCCCTGTAATATTACATGGACCCTGGTTGAGAACCACGGATCCAGACCCTTGGAATGGTCTTGGGTAATGATTTCAACTCTTGGAACATAGTTCCCTGAAATTTCTCATTGGGTAAGTAAACATAATCACTGAAAGGAAGAGGGGATAGATATACAGTTTCTGTTTTCTTCTTTCACATTTATAAATTTTGCATCATGCATTGAATATTGCTGTCATAACTGGTGTGGCTATATATCTCAAGATTCTTGACAAAATCCAAAGAAGTGTCTGCAGTGTTATCAGTACTGACCTGGCATCTTGGCTTCAGTGACTTTCCTACTGCTATAACATACCTCCCCAGTGCCTTTTTTATAAATATTTTCATGGCAATTGGTCCCTCAATTGGTCCCTCAATTGTATAAATTTAAGCGTATTATTAGATTGGCTTCTATGCCTCATCGTTTTACTGTTGAAACAGCTCGATATAACTGTAAATTCTATTCTAATACTTTCTTTTCTCACCTGTGGAAGTCTCTCTTGATTTCTTACATCCCTGTCACCTACAATCTTCAAAAATGCAATGCCAATTGCTATTTTCTGTCTTCTTGAATCCTGCTCTTTTTCTGTTCTTTCTGTTCAGTAATTCTCTTTCATTTCCAGTAACCAGTTGCGTCTTTGTCTCATTATCAACTTGCTTGGAGGTGAAATGATTTAAAAAAAAAAATAACAATTCTTAAGGAAGGTTATTTTGAATAATACATTGATTAAAGACATGTTTTCCTTGTCTTTGTTATTTTTATCACATTATAACAATTGATGGGCTGTCTGATTTTTTTTTTTTTTTTTTTTTAAACCCCTTGCATCTTAGTGCATTATAGCCTTACTTGGGGTGAAATGAAACAGTATTTTTTTTTAAAATTTCTTAACCCTTTGAGAACTGCATTCCTCAATGATTTTAACCGTTCTGCTTGAGCTACTGAGTCAAAATTTCGCAAATAATTCATATGCATTGTTTCACAGTAGATATAAAAATAGTTACAAGTGTTTACCCACCATTCAACCGGTAGCTGGGCATTAAGACTTTTTCTCTACCACCGTTCAACTGGTGAATGGGCATTACGTCATTTTTCTTTTCCACCAGTAAAGTGATGGCGAGGGCTCAAACGGTTAAGCTGGATAATCATTGGCTAATATATAGATTTTTAAAAATTTCTTTCATGATGATCAGTTATTTCTCCCTTGTCGGAATAAATTTTTATATATATATATATATGTATATAAATAAAAAGAAAGAACAGTAAGATATAAAATCCGGTGTTCTTATAGATATTTTATTTTTACAAAATAGTGCTCAATGTAAAAAGAATATAGTAAAATAAAAATTAAAAAGGAAAATATTTCAAATCGTAGTTAAATAAAAAGTATTGTAAAAAAATCTTTAATTTTAAAAGATGACGTTGAAAATTTTTTACCGTTAACAATTTTTTTTTTTTTTAAAATTCAGACGACATCCATTCAAATCGACGTCAGGTTTCAGTGTAAAATACATCCTCACCCTTACCAAAATGTAGCTAATTTGATACAATGATACTGTCATAAGGAAAATCTAGACACCGTGTTCAATTTGAGTAGAATATTCTGTAACCATGGAAACGTGATTTTAGCTGTGTATTTAAAACCCGTAAATTTTAAAAGTTACTCCAAAAATTGAAGATGAAATAGAACTAATGCTTTTAATTTATTTGCAAAAATAAAATTAGGGGTTTTTAGCTTCTATTTTTGAAACATGGTTGGAATGAAAATAACCATATTTTAAATCAATAATTTAATATATATATATATATATATATATTATTTTTTTCTATTTCAGATAAAAGTGATACGGATTGCCTAAATGTAGATGTAGCTTCAGTCACCACCTCCTCCACTCCCACCACTAACAACAACAACAATAATAATACTACAACAACAACAACAACAGCATCTACAGCTCCAGCTCCATCAACATTTTTGAAAAGATCCGTCAAACCCTCTTTTCGGTCTCTTTTCTCACCATCCTCCCCACCCTCCCCTCCAACAACTACTGCTACTACCAACACCTCCAGTGTTTCCTCATCTTCCTCATCCTTCCTAGTTTCACTGGTATCTTCCTTGGCTTCAAAACAGTCGCAACTTAACAAACATGCTGCCAGTGGCAATCTTCATGATTTGCAGGTACTACTTGATTTTTACCACAAACAACACCAACATGAAAACAAGGACTTAGAAATTCTCCAGGCTTCAATTGCTGCTGCCATGGTCTATGCCGCTCAATCTGGACAGCAAGGTGAGTTGATACCATAGACAAGTTTTTCAGATTGGGTTTTCTTTCTTTTGGTGATACAAAGACATCAAGTGAGATGCTTCTAAAATTTAACAGTAACAGTCTTGGAATGGTCTTTGGTAAAGATCTAGCCTCTTGGAATAGTCTTGGGTAAAAATCTAGCCTCTTGGAATGGTCTTGATAATTTGGTGTAAGGCAAAAGTCTTGGCCCTCTGAATGCATCAGGCAAAAATCTCTGCCCTCGGAATGGTCTTGGGCAAAGGTCTTGGAACTCAAAACGATCTTGGACAAAGATCTCAAGTCTTTAAATTTAAGGTATTTGATGTTGTCTTCGAACTGCTCACCTCTTTATTTATATTATTAATATTATCATCAATAAATAAAACATTCCCAATACTCATTGAAGACCAAGTAAAAGTTTTGCGATGTTAACACTTGAAAGGGTCCAGATAAGAATATAATCTTCTTCTGAACACTGAGTAGTGTGGGCTTCAGAATACTTTTAATCACTCTGATGAGTAAGTATTGTGAACTTTTTATTTATTGATATTAATAATTACTTCCAAAGTTTTACTCACCTTGACATACATTAAATTACATAATTTTACATATATCAATAGGTGTTGTTATTTTTTTTATTTACATTATTTTGAAGTTAATGGGCATGTGGTTGAAGTGTTTGCACATTAGAGTCCCAACCAGGAGACACAGGTTCAAATCTCATTTTAAATATGCCTGTGTAGCTTCATTGATTGGCTGATTTGTTTTGTTTTCTATGGTTTATCAACCCTTTGCAGGTTATTTAAAGCCAGAAAATATCTTTAGATTATAAGAAATTTTTTTTATTTTATTTTTTTGAGATAATAATGATTGTGATACAAGTCTTACTAATTAATCCATAGCTGAGGGAGAAGAAGTGAATTCATATCTAATTGGTTTGGTTTGGTTTGTTTTATGGCATATCAACCTCAAAGGGTTATTTAATGCCGACAATTTTTTTTTTTTTTTCCTGGTAATATTTTTGTTTTGTTAAAAATCCAATTCTGTTAATATTTTTTTCTCAAAAACTTATAGCTAGTAATATTTTTTTTTTTTTTCAAAAACGTATAGCTGGTAATATTATATTTTTTTCAAAAACATACAGCTGGCAACATTTTTTTTTCAAAACTGTATTATCAGAGGCCGTGCTGTTGGACCAAGTTTATCGTCTTACTCAGTACGTGGATGTAGTTTATCGTCATACCCAATACGCTCTAGTCAGAATTTGATTAACAAGAAATTATGTGGATATAAAGTGAGGGATCATTTCTGTATTCCAATCAATATATAAACTGATCCTTGACTTTTTGGCCACAGTAGTTTCTATACATTTCTATTCCAGAGAATGTAAATAAATCTAAAAGACATGCTTGTATAGCTAACCAGTATTTCATTGATTTGTTTTTTATGGCTTATCAACCCTTTGCTAGTTATTTAAAGCCAGAAAATATTTTTTTTTATTGTAAAAAAAATTATTTTTTTTTAGATAGTAATGGTTTAGTGATACAAGTCTTACTAATTAACCTATAGCTGGGGTGAAGAAGAAGTTGATTCATATCTTTCCCAAGAGTATTTGTATGTTAGTGAATATAACAAACCCAACAGGAATTGGAACACTGCACTTTGATTAACAATTTTGAGTTATTATCCATTACACCACCTGCACATTCAAACTTACAGCATCTGGTGTTCCAAAGCGGAAGAAAATATTAGGAAAATTCTAAATATAAACAAACAGAAAAGATACAGAATATTAAGGACATTGGTTAAACTATCAAACTACATGATCAATTCGTTAATACATTAGTTTTAACCTCAACATGGTCGTTTTCTTGTTAAGGAGGTGACTTCTTGATAGGCCTGAGAAGAAAATTCCAGCATATAGCACTATATGCCTTAGGCAACTTAATGTGGCATAATGGCTAGCAAGCTTATCTCGCTAGAACAATTATGACTGAGTAGTGCATTAGATCCCCACCAGCTGCCCCATACTTTTGACCTTTTGCTGAATCAATGCCTAGAAAATCACTATATGAGACCGTGCCTTAGTCTCATGCCACAAGTTCACTCAAATGACTGAAATTAGGTAAGACGGAACTGTTTGGAATATATTGATGGTTATCCTAGTATAAAGTCACAAGTCATCGTGGTTGAGGACTTGAGCATAATAGCATTGTTCAAACTTTTTATCATGCCAGATTGTGTGCTCTCTCTGAGAAACCATAGCTATGACCTATTCAGTATAGTTGCAGTATAAACCAGAATTTGCCTCTGTGGATATTGAAAAAAGCACAAATGTGCCTGAGCAGGCATCTGCAACAGGATTAGCTAGCCACCCTATCAGATAGACATAGTCAGTAATGAGTAATTACTTATTATGGAATTAGTTGTTGTCTTGAAGGTGACATTAGGGCAAGCGTGAAACTTAGTACTTGAGGCAATCAATACTTAAGAGCTAGAGGCAAAAGCCTATGAATGACATAATCATTTAATTTTTTTCTATTTTATTTCCAGAATGTCTGAGATTGCTGCTGAAATATGTCTCCTCTGATTGCGCCTCAGAAATGGGATTCTATCCTCTCCATGCTGCTGCAAAAAATGGACACAAAAGGTTTGTTCAGAATCACACCTTCTTTATCTGTCAGAAATTAATTTTGACTTTTAGGTTAACCCTATCGACCATTAAGAGTAGGTACCTCCACAAAAATGGCAATGTCTAAGGTTAAAATTAATTTTAAAAAATGAAAAAGCTTTCATTTTAGCTTTAATTGAAAGCTAAATGATTAAATTTACTATTTCCAGTAAGCAAAATAGTCTGGTGTCTTTCAAATAGAAATTATATTGAATGGAACAGATTTTTCACATTTTTTTTCTTTCAGTAACATTGTCAAAGTCATCTATTTTTTAGATATTTCTAAACACAAGTTACTTATCAATTTTAAAAATCTTGCAAAAATGCTTTTCTGAAACTTTATTTGAGGAATATTAGCTGATTTGAAGTATAATGAATCTGATTTGAAATAAATATTATTTACTTTTAGTTTAAAATATTGCAGAATTAATTTTTTAACCAAACAGTAGCTGTGTTTGTGTGTTTGACGAGGTGATAACAGATCTAATGTTGTTCTATGGGGACTTTATCTATAAAACATAATCGAAGAAAGTGATGTGAGCACTTTTTTTATATAATTTTTAAGTCATCAGTAATCTTAAAAATTTAGGAAAATATTCTCTGTAATGTTTTATTGAATTTTTAGAAATATTGGCTTTAAATTTAATATAGCTATCACTCTTATTTTCTGGTAATGTAATGTAGTCAACTATACTTAGAAAAATCAGTACATTTATACACTAATTGGTAACTGGTATTAAGCTTTACCATTTATGATAAGTAAATATAGTTTTTAATAATAATATCATCATCTAAAAGGCAGAACTTAATACAGAATTTTAAAAGATTTAAAACTTTATAAAGTACTAGCAGTAGAGCCCGGCATTGCCCGGGGATGTAACAATAAGAGATAGATCAAGTATCGACTAAAGACTGAAAAATAAAATTGACAAAGATTATTGTTTAAGGTTGACGAACACGCATGTCTTAATCATTTTTTTTTTTTTTACGGATTGGTCAAGCCCAAACTCACACAAAAACATTGTTTTCAATCGTTATGAGTCTACCGATTGAATAGAATTTTATTATAAACAATTGTCTTGTAGATGGAATTTTAAAGCATTCTGAATGTAAAAATAAAGAAAAAAAAGTGTGCAAGACAATAAGAAACACTACCTGCCAAAAAAAAAAGTGAAGTTTTGTTGAAATCGGTTGAAAAATGTAGGAAATCTGATCCAATATATAAATGAACACACACACACACACACACAAACAACCTGGGTTTTTATAAGTATAACTCGATATGAGTTGTCCCCCTTTCATTCTGGCAACAGAATCGTGTTTTATCATGTTTTCAAATTGATTTCATGCAAAAACAGTTTGTGTTTTTCAATTTTGGTGCTGTCAGAACCACTGCAGAAGGTAATTTTTACGCAGTCCTGTGAAGTTTTGTTGAAATCGGTTGAAAAATGTAGGAAATCCGATCCAATACATAAACTTACAGACACACACACACACACAATCTGCGTTTTATAATAAGTAAGCTTATAATTAAAATTTTAAAAAAATGAAAACAATTCTTGTAAAAATTTATTGTTCATTGAAAAAAAAGACAATAGTGTTCTTAATATATCTTATTTCTAAAAGCAATTAAATGCTTTTCTAATTAGATAATGTTATAGTTTTATTGAATTTTTTTATTTTATGATTTGGAGCAAATTTTCAGTAAATGAATAACATTTAAAAAAAAAAAATAATAATTGATGATTTACATTCCTCAAGGAGCCCTGCTTTTAACTAATATAAAAAATATTTGGATCAAAATTTAATTTCTTGAAATTTCATAAAATTAAGTCAGGTTGGTAACAGCTGCAAAAAAAAAAAAAAATATATATTTTTACAAAAACTTTCTAAAAAAATATATTTCAAAAATAATTTCATTCATTTATGAATAAGTCCTGAAAATTTAATTATAAACTGAGAATTATTTGATTTTTGCAAGAATTTCCAAAATAACGTGCTTTTTTACCACAAAAAAGACACTAAATTTCTCATAGTAATCTTTGGCCCACTACTGGCACAAGAAAAAAAAATTTTGACCAAAATTTGTAATGTGTTAGAAAGAATTAAAAAATTTAATAAAATAATCAATAAATACTTTGGCCTTTCCTCTTAATAATAACATAAAAATTTTGACGACAAAACTTTTCAAGTTTGTGGCCTTTTTCATCATGCTATGCTCTTTTTTAGTGAAAAAGTGGAGGTACCTACTTAAGAGATTTCAATTGCTAAATCCCTGGTGACCTGACTGAATTGTTGAAAAATTGAAAGTAAAATGTTACAAGTTTGTTTTGCATGATAATAAATTGATTTCATTTTTTAATTGATACCAACTTTAGTCTTTTTAGTATTATTGCTTGTGGTTGTGTAATGATTGTGGATTTCTGACACCTCTAGTCGATCATGTAAAGAGTGTTAACACCATGCTGCTTAATTACAGGTGTATTCAGGTTCTCTCAAACTGTACACATATGCAACTTTTGGGTGCTTCTAACCTTAAAGAGTTAATATGAAGTGAAACCAACCATTTTCCAAATATTTTGTAGGGAAACTAGATCAAAAACAATATTATTTGAAAACCTTGTCTAAATAAATAATCAACCTGTTTGACTTTTCCAAACTTGAGAGATTACCAAATTTTAATTTTGGTAACATGACAATAGTGTTGGGCACTTCAACATGGTTTAATTGTTAGTCTTGATACATCAGTTATGACTGAATAGTGACTTTGATTCTCACTGGGTGCCCCCATACTTACAGCCTTGGGCTACATCTAAGTTCCACTTACAAAATCACTATGATAATGGTGTTGGCCTCAGTGTTCACCTTTTATATTTTGATACCCTCTATTCCTGATATTTACAGCCCTTACCCATAAATATAGCATGCCAGAAACTATATTTTTATTATAAATATATATGGTTAATAAAAATTTATTATTTTCAGTTGTCTTGAAGTTTTGCTGGATTCTGGCGCCAATGTGAATTCTGCAGATCCTTCTGGATGGATCCCTCTTGAATGGTCGGCAGCTAGTGGTTATGAAGATTGTTGTTTACTTCTGCTGAACAAAGGATCCATCTTGAATCTTACTAAAAAGGTATTCTCTTTAATGTAATATTTTTCAGCAAACTTGGACTTTCCCGTATACAAAAACACATGGAGTTTAAAAAGGATGGTTTTTCCATTGAGACATAAGATATTTTTTAACTAACTTCCATCCTTGGAAAAATGTTTCATTTTAAAAAGCAATGATTGGAATTGTAATAAAACCAAAACACATGATGAAGGTAAATTTATATTTTTTTTTCTTGAGAATTTGCAACAAAAATATTTATTTATTAGATTGTTTATTTACAAGAATAATTTTATATTTACAACTTTCTAAAACTAATATGATTATAAATATAAAAATATTTTTTTATTTATAAACATTTACTAAATTATTAAAACATGTGAACCAACTTTAACTTCTATCACTCTGTATGTGACTTCATTTGCTGCACGAAAAGTTTATCCTGCCTAGTGAAGGTGACTGTGATACCTGAACAACAGTGTGTTTGAATTTCATAGTTGTGTTATCATATCCTGCTATGACAACAGAAAACAACTTTGAGTGAAATTAACAATAAGGATATTACAACTGAGAGGCCTTGAAAAAGAATGCAATAGAAAGGGAAGTAATATTAATAATGCAGAGTGTTCTAAAGCCTAAAGAAATCCTTATTATTTTTTCCATTTTAAAAAAATATGAATTGATTAGCTATTAGCCAACTTTTTTTTTTTTTTTTTCAACCATTCCAATAAACAATATAATAGGGTTTATTATTTTTGTTTTCAGTTCTCAAGAGCAAAGAAAATGTATCAATTCACTTTCATGTGCTTAGGTTTTATTCCAATTCTAATCATCAATTTTTAAAACATTGTTAAAGAGTGAAGGTAGTTCAAATAAAAACAGTCAATGGAAAAACTGTCCTTGTGACATTTGCTTCTTTTTTTTTGTGGGCATGAATTGCCCATTTTTCTATTTGATTCTTCAAGCCATGAGCAAAGTTTTAAAAGCAATAAATATTCAGAATGATGTTTATTTACTGCAAAGTTTATCAATTATGTTGCTTTTGTTACCACTGGGGGAGTATGATGTAAAATGTGTCACTGAAATCTTAAGGTGCATTTGGAATTGTAAAAGATGCCTTCCAAAAACTGTAAAGAATTAGAACGTTAATCTGTTGAAAGACTTTATCATAAAATCTACCGTTTCTTTTTACTATGAATGTCCGCTTACTTTTCAGTCTTGATAGAGTTCAAAAACATCTCGGAGTCCTTGTTGGAAAAGAATTATGTTCCACCCTCCAACCTGTCTCACAGGTTGGAGGGTGGTGTGTCTCTCACTCCTCTATTGGCACTAGTATGGAAAGTACTCTGACAAACTACATTCTTTGGTTCCGCTAGGTCTAACCTTTATGGCTAGGACCCACCATGCCACTAACATCATAACAAATCACTCACATCACCCTCCATATCCCATCAGCAAGAAGTAAGTTCCACTCAAACAGCTTCTTCCTGTGAACCACTCCCCTGTTGTATAGACCCCCAAGAGGATGTTTCCCCAATCACTACAACCTTAACCTGTTTCAAATCTAGATTTAACCATTATTTCCCCCTTCTATCCATACAAATTGCCTCCTAGCATAACCTTCTACCGAGAGTGGCTCTTGGGCCTTATACAGGATAAGACTTACTGTAATAATTTGATTGAGATTGGCTGCACAAAATCTTGACCCAATGTTACTTTTATGTCTGAAGAATAAAAACTACAAAATAAATCTGTGTTCGTCATGAAAAGTCTTGCCACACAAACATTTCCACTCAATGAACTTACAACATGATGAGGCTTTTTCTAATTACGATTATTTAATTTTCTTTTGCAGGAAAATACATCAACCATTTTTCACCACACAGCTCGCAGTGGAAATACAAAATGTCTTGAGATCCTATTGCTGAATTTAAATGGTAAAAAAGCTTGTGAGGAGAACATTCCAAGCCGAGAAACATTAACTGAATTTGTCAATTGTCAAAATGAAGATGGACAAACTGTCTGTCATTTGGCTGCTATGAATAAGTCAGAGGTATGTGATGATTCCAAGTTTATTTTGTATTCAATGGGGAATTAATTTGTTGTGAAAAAGAAATATCCTATTTACAAAATTCCCATATTTAAATATCCTATCTAATGTGTTCTTCTAGTCAAATGGTCTTAGAATTAAGTTCCTTTAGGGAAATGTTTATTCATATGTATTGTTATTGTATTTTTTCATAACGTGTGATGTGAGTTTTACAATAACAATACATATGAATAAATATTTCCCTATAGGAACTTAATTCTAAGACCATTTGACTAGAAGAACACATTAGAAAGGATATTTAAATATGGGAATGCAGTGGAGAAGCCATTTTCTTATAGGAATGATTTAGAAAGGCCATTTCATTGTTGGAATGCATTGAAAAAAACATTTTCTTATATAAATCAGAGAGGCCATTTTATCATGGGAACACATTGGAAAATCAGATTTAGTTTCATTTCACTTTTGTATTTGTTCATATTAAAATCTAAGTGTCCTGAAAATATTTTTGACTTTTTATAATTTCTTTAAAAATGATTAAAATGCAGAATTTAGTTTTGTAATCTAAATATTTTAATTGTGATCTTAAAATTTCTTTTTAGGATTGTCTGGAAATGATTCTGAAATTGGCCGATGCTGATCTTCTGCTTACAGACAAGCAAGAACAATCTGTGTATGATGTAGCCTCACCTGCCTGTCATTATTTTCTTTCTCATAAAAGTAAGTTTTAATAAAGTGTGAAATGGCTTTGTTTTAATTTCATTCCTATTATTGATCCTGGGAGTAAATGGGGGATCAATATTGTTATTATTGTAGTTCTTAACTAATCCCCTATAATGCTATGGGATGTCCTAGTCCCTGCTCTACATGTCACTAGTGTGTCTTTGATCAAATCCTGTAGCTAACCATGGAGTTGGTCATTTTGATGCAAGCCTGTCCCATGTTGTGTTTGTTTTGATCACAAGACAGGCAAGGACCAAATCGTCACCAGATATCACTGGGTTGGTGTCGTTCAGGCAGGACAATGTTATATGACAAAAAAAGAAAGTTGTGTAGATTAACAAGGTTTATATAACTGAGGTTTATACAGGAACACTTTTTTGTATAAGAATCTACAAGCATGCAAACTAACAACCATTCGTACGTAGTCTAATTTCGTGACACTTTGTTCTTCATTTCAAAATTAGAGTCAGGGTTTCAAGCTTTACATTACAGACTTCTTCAGGCAGTAAGTTACGGAATGCTGACAAAGCACTCATCTCCCTCTCTCTCTTGCTGTTATAATTTCATTAGGAGCACTCTGCTCAATTTATCTAATAGTCTGGAAAAAGTTCTCCATGGTAGCAAGTGATATGGGGATCAGTGAAGCGATCATCTCCTCTTGGTATAATGGAAGTGCGTCTCTGCCTCAGCTGTTACTGCTCAATTCCCCTCCAATCTAACGCTTTTATGGACCCTCGTCCAACATTGGAGTGGAGTTTGATGATATCTGGGGTTCCAGGATTTTCCAAATATTCAATCAGAACTCTCTGCTGATAGTGTCCTGGGAAGCAATGTCCAAATTTGGGAACCTTTAGGGAGTAGTGGTAGCAGGGCATCGACCTGCCCCACTTACTCCCTCCTTCTCTTATTTGTACCTTATACCAACCCCACTCTCTCTTGTTCACCAACTGGGTGTCATGACTGGCATGCATTTGTTAATTAAAATTCACCTGCCCCAACTTGACATCTTTGGAAATGTTCTTTGGCATAAAAAGTCTTTGATATTTTCCAGATTTCTCATCATGGATAATTATAATTCCTTCCTTGTCTTCAGGGGAGGCTTGACCAAACTGTTATCTTACCAATTGACTGAATTCTTCGTCATTCGAATTCTGCATTGTATCCAATGAGATCTTATTTCTTTAGTGATATACACACCTCACACCCTCCACCCCTATCAACAAATGATATAGAATCATTTCTTTACTCTCTTCTTCCCCTACTTACAGCCATAAAATTATTATCTGTGACTAGCTTAGTGTTCTCAGTCCAGAAATGCCAGCCTTGGTCAATTTGCAGATGTCATCACACTCCCCCAACATCTTTCTTGGTCCTCACTTTAACCAGGTACCCCAGTGGATTTCAGCATTATCTTCTAGTAAGGACCTTAATTCACAAAATGAGAAAAAAAAAGTATATTTTCTTTTGTTTTTGGTATGTCCTTCAATCTATCAACTACCTTCTTCACTTTTGTGTTCACTTTCGATTCTCTCTTCAAATTATTAGCATTCTTATAGTGTCAAACCCCTTGGTTCCATTTTGGAAGCATTGGTTATCAGATCATTCTCACAGATTAGGCATCCTGGGTAATACGATAAACTACATCCTGCAGCAAGGCCTCTGATCAGGAGGTTTTGAGGAGCATGGAACCACCTTTTAATTGTTGGTGTTCCCAGATTCACCCTGACTTGAGGTGGTAGCACCTGTTAGGGTCCCAGCTATGGGCAAATAGTTAATCCCCAAACTGGGGTAAAAATCATGTGAAAGTATAAAAATTTATTTTGATAGTAAAAATACCAGCAATACATTTTTGATAACAAAGAAAATATTACGAGCAATATATTCTTCCTAAAAAGAAAAAAAATACCAGCAATATATTTTGGTAAAAAAAAATTACTAATTCTCCCAAGAAAATTAAATTTCAGTATTAAATGACCCATAAGGTGTTGATATGCCACTAAACAAACTCTGAAACTCTCAGGTTAGTGAGTTTTTTTTTTTTTTTTTTTTACTCCATGTTTAAGGCTGTTGTAGTCTGGCCTTATATATTTAATTATTTTCTATCTAAAATTTCAATTTATGGTAACGTTCGAATTAACCGTTTCCTTATAAGGAAACATTCGACATTCATTGGCTGAAGAAAGAGTCGGTTTTGATTTTGATTGAAATTTCTAAAATCTTTCAATGAAAACATTTTTCAGGAAAATAGATTTTTCAAGCCCATTATCCATTATCCCTTTTTCCAGTATTGAGGAGTTCTTCCTTTGCAAACTTTTGACCAAAGTAGTAATTATTTCATTATTGATTCTCTCATTATTTCTCTTTGATGAGAGATGTGAAGTGATTGGCACATATAATCTCTTCCAGTATCATATAACTATGACTGATTTTACAAGTGCACAAAAGTAATGGAAGCAATAGATAGGAAGATCATATTGCATCAATCTCTTAACAAGAAAGGAGTTTACAATGCTTAAAAGTCTGTATTTTAAATCCTTCATTTTTCTGAATCATTTCACACCAAGCAAGTTGATAATGTTTATTCTTTTTAATAAAACCTGTTGGCAAGAAGAGTTGCTGTCAAAATGTACTAAATTTAACATTATGTTTACATATAATTTTTGAGAGATGTGAGGTGATTGAGTTATATAATCTTTTCCATTATCATATAACTACAACTGATTTTACAAGTACACAAAAGTAATGGCAACAAGATATAAGAAGATTGTATTGCGCCAATCTTTTATGGAAAAAGGTGCTTACACTGTTTGAAAATCAGTATTTTAAATCATTCTTTGTAATCATTTCACTACAAGCAAGGTGATAAAGCCACTAAGATGCAAGGGATTATTAAGACAAAGAACCTCAGGAAAACATTGATGAGAGAGGATAAGAAAAGCATGGCATTCAAGGACACAGAAGATAACAATTGACATTGCATTTAAAGATTTTAGTTGACAGGAAAGCAAGATGCCAGAAGAGAGTTCCACAAGTGAGAAGAAACTGCTAGCATAGAACTTACGATTCAATAAGTTTTTTTTTTTTTTCACTTCTCACCCCTTTTCCCATCGTTCAATAATATCAGCTCGTAAGGAAAACAGAATATCTCTGTGAATAATTGCTCTTACTTGTTGGTCATGAACATTTACAGGAATGAGGAAAGTGTCCAACACAATTTTCAATGCAAAGTGTAGGTACACAATCCCATCATCCTGGATATGATGATAAACCACATCTGGCAGCAAAGCCTCTGATTGGGAGATTGGAGATTTTGAGGAGTGTGGAACCAGCTTTTAATTGTTCCCAGATCCACTTTGATCCAGGGTTGTAGCATCTAATAGGGTCCTGACTATGGGCAAATAGTGACCCCCCCCACACACACACACCCCAAAAAAACTATTCCAAGAGATTTGTCTGTATCTGGACTTCTTGAAAATTTGAATTTTTACTCATTTTTTTCTTTTCTTTTTTCCAGCCAAAGTTCCCAGTCGTAACTGCTCTGTAATTCTGCAAGTCAAACAATTCCTGGATATTTCGAATCCTGCTCAAGAGTCTAGAGATAACAAAATATCATCGGAGAAAATTCCAGCCCAAATTTCACTGTTTCATGTTGGATCCATGAACATCCAGCCAATTACATCATGGGCACAATTTCAAGATTTGCTTCATAATACTGTGCACACATACTATCGACTTCTTGATCATGGCTTCCACACCAACAAAGCTACTCAACTGAATTCTGCTGCAGACCCTGAACAAACCCCATTTACACTGGGCTTTTCTCTCAACAATATTAAGAAATATTCCATTGGTAATTCTTTTTCTTAATAATAACTGGCCTAGATCAAGAGATTCTACTAAAGAAAAATGGGCTTTCCAATAGAAATTGAATCTATATTCTCTTTTCTCCCTCAAAGAAAAAAATACTTTCATAGCTGAAGGGATGGCATTACCAATTTGGTGATGGGAGACCATCATGATAAAGTAGGGGTCAATAACCTACTTGAAGAATGCTCACCTTAAGTTGCAATTTCTTTAAATCTCTATCTGTTAGCTCAGGATCATTGCAAGGGTCTCGTACACACTCCACCATTCTACTATATTTCATACATACTCCAAGAACATCACTGAGTCCTTGTGGGTGATGAATTATTTTCCACCCTCCAACCTTTCTTTCACAGGTGAGATGTGGTAAGCCTCTCGCTGCTCTAACTTTATGGGGGGGGGGAAATAATTCATCACCCACAAGGACTCAGTGATGTTCTTGGACTATGTATGAAATATAATAGAATGGTAGAGTGTGTATGAGACCCTTGCAGTGATCCTGAGCTAACAGATACAGATGAACTACATTGGTTCCACAATGTTTAATCTTCACAGCTAGAACACACCATGCCACTTACATTGTAGTAAACCACCCACATTCCCTCTGTATTCCATTGGTGAGAAGTAAGTTCCACTGGAACAGCTTCTTACTACGAACCATTGCAATGTGGAACAGACTACCAAGAAGATGTTTTCCCAATCACTACAAGCTTAACCTGTTCAAGTCTAGAGTTATCTTCCCCTCCTATCCATATAAACTACTCCTTAATGTAACCCTCTACTTCAAGTGGCCCACGGGTTTTGTAGAGAGTAAACCTTATGCTAAACAAAAAAAAAAAACATATCTCAATTTTCATAAGGTAGTATTCATATAAAATACAAATTTTATTGTACAATAATGGATCATATGCAATATAGGGTGAACAATTCAACTAGAAAAACTGAAAATAAATACGATGTATCTAAATACATAATAATACATAATAGATCATACCATCTTAAATAAATCAGTAATTAATATCAACTTGAGATTGCTCTTGTTAAAAAGCTGAATAATTTTAACACATTCAACATTATGGATAAAAAAAAGTAGTGAATTTTATATATTTTTTTTTTGAGACTTAGCATAAGCAAAACAAATTCACAAACTTGGACAAAAAACAAAAATGAATCAAGAATGATGTCAAAATCTGCAAATTTTTTTCATTCTTTAATAGTCAGTTGTGTTTAGTTTAATTTGTAATGTATATAAATGTAGGTAGAAAAAAAGTAAATGTTCTTAATATAGTAAGGGTCACAAAGCACTACCCAGGGCTCCCAATCAGGCTTCCCCCCCATTCAGGGAGGATCAGTATTTGTAGGCCCTGCTAGCCAGGCTTTTTACATGATATATTATTGTCCTACAAATGAATTCCTCCTGATTTTGTTCAATTTGATTTGTTATATCATATTTTAGCATTGCTCAGGAATAACATCCTGATCAGAAAAATTGCATTTCTTGTTCCAGTGTCTTGAACACATTAGAGTTAAGTGTATTAAAACATTTTTAGAAACTTTTTATAGACAGCTGGACTCAGACAATTCCTAGTGCAATTTTTCAATCTCTGAGAATTCATTTACTACTGTCCTTTACTAAACCAACTAAGTAAAAATTGTGAATGTAAAATATATAAACTTCAGTAATTTTAATTTTACTAAAAAAAAGCCTCAAATTAAAGCCTCTAGTTTTCAACCACCTCATTGTCAAACAGTAGAATAACCTTGTGAATAACAACATTAATTCTTGTACTTGTTGAGTCATGAGTTCAGTCCTTTGCTTAGACAGTGCAAGACAACACTGGAAGTTTCTGTTTAGACTTAAGGCACGTTAGAAACACATCATCTGAAATATTGATTAAAACCAACAAAGATGAGGATACTATTTAAAATTTTATATAACCTTTTGTCTCAGAAACTTTCCTACTGTAGAGCAAAGGTAAACTAATTTAATTTGATAGAATCCTTGTTGACTGTCCCACTGCTGTAGGTCAGTTTAACACTAAAATTAATACAAAATTAATCATTCATTTTACTGGTTGTATGTAACTGGTATTTGATTAAAAATGTTTTTCATAATTTTATAGCTTTTACTTAACTGGAGATATTGCCTTTGTGGAAAAAAGGAATTTTTCAAATCTCTCTTGTCTTGTAGGATCTTTTGAATTGAGTGTTACTCAAGAATTTCCTTCTGTGACTCCATACGAATTGATTAATGAAAATTGTGAAGATGACAAGGCTTCGGTGTCTGTCACAATTGAAGGTAAGCTGACTTCAAATATGGCGATAAAAAAATATAACAAATATTGACTTATAAAATATTCATCATCATTTTTAGAAATTAATTAAGCTTAAGTTCAATTGCTTTTCATCACAACTACTCAGAACATCATTCTACAGCTATTAGTCATAATATTATCTTGAATTTTATTATTAGATCAAGCATTGTCAGCCATTTCTTTCATCTTAATTTCAATTGCTTTTCATCACAACTACTCAGACCATCATTCGAAAGCCATTAGTAGTAATATTATCTTGAATTTTATTATTAGATCAAGCATTGTCTGCCATTATTAATTTTTCACTAGTATTTCTTTCATCTTAATTTCAATTTCTTTTCATCACAACTACTCAGACCATCATTCGAAAGCCATTAGTAGTAATATTATCTTGAATTTTATTATTAGATCAATTGCTTTTTTATTATACGGACAATCATTCTACGGTCATCATAAATAAAGAATAAACTTGGTGAGACTCAAATGTGTTTTCCTTTGTCTTTGGTTAACTGTACAAGCTGCTGATGGATTTATAACAGCTTTTTGGCTTTCAGAAAAATCAAATCTAACTTTATAGAATTTTCATAAAATTTCTCTCCATAATCACAGATCATGGGGAGGTATTATCTGAGGAAAGATCTACAGAGTTCAGGCTGGATGTTTGAAATTTATATTGGGTGGTATGGGGGGGGGACTTGTCTCACAACTTGCACTAAAGCAAAGGGGATGTAACTCATAATAAGTTAAATTTTCATTATAAACTATTTCTTGATCAATTCCTTTTTTAACATTTATTGATTGCTAATTTTATAGATTTTAATCTTGTGTTTTTTTTTTTTTTTTTTTTTTTTCTAGATACAGATCTTTCTAGCATGTCGTTGGCTTTTTCCCTTCTAATGCCACACCAAACAATACAAAGTTATTTCCGATTGGTAAGTCACTGATTTTCCTGGCATATCTCTTATCATCCAACAACAAAAGTGATTGAAACTAAAAGAAAAAGAATCTAAATGAAATTGGATGGATTATATACCCAAAACGTTATATATATATATATATATATATATACACACACAAAACATAGCTGTTTCAAACACTTGTTTTTGTTCTATAGGAAAATCTAAGATGGTGCCTGAATGAAATATTCAATAAAAAATCCCATTCGTCAGTAAGTTTAAAATACCCCTCATAGAAGGCAAAGTTCTCAAAGCAAACCTGTGCCAAACTGTTTTCCTGAATCCTTGATGACTTGGCTGTCCGAAGATGACAACATCAAGATGAAATAATGGAAACCGACCATGAAAAACAATTTTTCAATCGATCACTTAACTTCTAGATGTTTTCGGGCCATATTATAGGATCCAGACGGCTATTGTTTGCACATGGAATCATTCACTGGTAATTAATCTTTGATTTGGCTGTGAAAAATATGGCTACGACCTGAAGATGGGAAATATGAAAGACATGTGTCGAAAAAAAAAAACAATGTCGTCTGCTAAGTGTTGTTGTCATCACCCAGTTCATAAGGTGTTAAAAAACAAAACACATCAAGCCATTGTTCAAACATAGGTTTGAAAAAAAAAAAAGAAAATATCAAACCCTTTTTACCAATATTTCCTATTTTTTTTTTCACTCTTTGCTCTTATCATGTAAGTGGTGGGATTTACAATCTGGTGACAGCTTGCTCAACGTTTATCACTGGCTGGCTGGCCTTTGACCCAGACATGTTAAAGTCAATTTGGTTTAATTTTTCTTATCACTGATATAACCTCCTGGTTTCTGGTGGTCAGAAATTGCGGATAAATCTTTTGCCTTTTACTATAGATTTCTGTGGCCAGGTGTCAATTTTTTTAAACCCCAGCGGCTATATAATTGAACATTACCAATGAACTTTGTTGCATTTTGACCCCCTAGGAATGTTGCATTTTGACCCCCTAGGAATGTTTTCCTTCAGACTCTCAATTTTATGCCTGAAATTGTTTGATTATAATTTAGGCTTTCTGATTTTCAAAAAAAAAAAAAATGTTTAATTTCCCATTATTGGGCAAATTTTTTGTTTAGAACGAGAAAAAATGCAAAATTTTTACTAATTTTTCACATTTTAACACCTGAAAAAATTTTTGAGTCATTTACACCAGCCAATTTTTCTTTTAAATGAAAGAACATATTGTTTGCTTTCAGAAAATACCTAGTTTGATGAGGTTCAGATCAAAAGTTTCCTTGATATTTTGTTCAGATGATGACAAAACAGTCATTTTTGAATATTTTACCTTGTTTTACCCCCCCCTATAAAAGTATGAAAATCAATTTTTTTCAAAGAAAATAAGATGTGACAAAATAACTTTTGACATTTTTGTGATGATTTTTACTTGGGATAGAAAAATTTTACCACAGCAAACCTGAATTGATTTTATTTAAGTTTAGAGGGGCTATGGGAACCCTATATATATATATATATATATATATATGAACAAAAATATACTGAAAAAAAACAAACAAAAATCCTAATATGCGATTATGCTGTTTTAATGTTTTTAATGTCAACGTCGGACGTTTTCGGTCTAAAAGACCATCTTCAGGAAATTTTTATTGTTTAAAACATAATTGCTTTTTATGTCCAATTCAACTTTTGAATGTTGAATTATATAAAGTTAATTATGTTTTATGAATATGTCCTGAAGATGGTTTTAGATCTAAAACGTTTGGATTGACATTAAACATTAAAACAGCATAATTGCATATTAGGATTTTTGTTTGTTTTTTTTTTTCAGTATATTTTCTTCATACTGTCGGATCTATATCCATATTATTATATATATATATATATATATATATATATATATATATATATATATATATATATATGTAGTTTCATGGTTTTCTCAAGTCAGACTGATGAATGAAATACATTACATAATAAGTAAATTGTAATAAGTATTTCATTCACCAGTTCATGTCAGATGACTTAGAAAACCAAATAGGTATATGTATGCTTATGAATATATACTTCTTAGCTCTGTCTAACTACATTGAGCCCTGTTTTGTTTGCACCTTATATTAAGTAAACATTTATTCGCTTATCTGTGTATACACACTAATGCATGCATATCAGTCAGTTATATGCCATGCGTGATACATGCTTAGGCAATCATGTATCTTTTGATACATGACTGACGAGGCAGATTTTTTTTTACCCACAGCAGGTTGCCATTTCTTTCTGTGGTGGAAGGCCTCTGATCAGGAGGTTTTGAGGAGCATGGAACCACCTCTTAATTTCTGGTGTTCACAGGTCCACCCTGACTGAGGGTGGTAGCACCTGATAGGGTCCCAGCTATGGGCAAATAGTTAACCACCAAACTGGGGTCAAAACACTATGAAAGTGAAAAAATAGGTTATAATACCAGCAATGAATTTTTGAAGAAAAAAATTATTGCCAGTTATACATTTTTGCAAAAAAAAATATTACCAGCAATTAAAATCTTGTCTGCATTAAATAAACCATTGCGGTTGATATGCCACAAACCAAACCAAACAAAAAAGATTTTATTTTTCAAAATCAAATTAAAAGGCCAACAGTAAAAAATGAATTTGTAAGTTTCCGTAATTCAAATGTGCAAAAATAGGTTTTATTTTATTTTAGTAAACAAATTAAATTTCTTGTATTTCAAACAAACATTGGGACTATTTACATTGTTTGAACAGTTGTCCTCATCTTTGTTGCCATATTGACAACATTTTGGCCATTGTACTTCTTCAGGTGATTGGAATTTCGAACTGAACTCTTTATTACATCCACCAGGGTAGACTGATCTAGTTCCACATGCCATGCCTCTTCTGGATGGCTCAGTATCAGTTATCTCCCTTTAACTCAACTCTCCAAGGTTTTGTTCCCCTCAGCTGTAGCCAGGTATTGAACTCACAACTCTTTGGGCCAAGTCACTGGATTCAACTAATGCATGGGCCAGTGGATAAAAACAACACTTGAAATGTGAATATGGCAACAAAGATGAGGACAATGTAAATAATTATAATCTACCACTTCGTCCCCAGCCCCTCAACCTCCGGCGTCTTCCTCTTTGGGTTGAGGTGTCCACTCGGTCCGAACCAAACTTAGGGGTAACTGGCTGTACGCTCTCCAAGTACCTGTAGATTTTTTCTACCGGTCAACTGGTCAAGTCCTGCTCACTGCCCATGTTGTGTTAGTTTTTAGATCCAGTAAGCGGGGTGTTGTCCATATGTTCACAGTCGACCTAGGGATGTGGACATGGCTGTGAGAGTTGGCGCTAGGAAGTTTTAGAATGTAGCAAAATAAAACAAGAAATAATATCTGCAGAAGCCAGACAACAATGGGGGAGATATTGATGTCTTTTATATAAGAAGACAACATCAGAACAGAGGTTACAGGGAGAATAAAAGCATTTAACATAAATGAGAACGGAAAAAGAAAAAGACAAAATGCATCCAGTGAATTCCCAACAGAGAGAGGGTTTGTGTGTGATAAACGTGTATTGAATCACCTGGGGTAGGTTTATGACTAATAGTCCAGTCTCATACAGACTTCTCAGAACAGGGGGAAGTCTTCTTTCTCTCTTCCAAAATTCCCCCGCAAATCTCTCGACTCACTGTGACGATAGTCTCATGACTCTCTCGACTATAGTCTCTTTCCCTGACTCTGCTTTATTAGCAAAATCTCGAGTTAATATGGAAAAAGAATCAGCTGATTACAATTGACCCTCGGCTCGGCACGCAGCTACCACGAGTGCCAAAAACTATCCCTTGACATGTAAACCGATTTTCCAATTATTTATCTTATCTCAATCACGAGTTCTCGCTTCACCAAAATTATACTTTGGGATATCTAAACATTGATTCAACCTTTTCATCAAAACAAATACTGTTAAACAAAACCAAGTATCTCGCCCATCCCCATTGTTTATTAGTGACCCAGATTTAAAACATCGCGTCCTGCCCTGAGATCGTGTTTCTCATCGGTAAACACACATCTTAACCCAAACTGTACTTTGATATATAAACACCATTTCCACTTCCAGTCAATAAAAGTTATATTTGCGTGTGTGCATTCATGTGAGTGTGTGTATCCTCTCTCTGTTACATAATACTTCATCTCAGAAATAAAAAACAACTTGAAATGGAACCTTAACAGTTTTGGCAGCTTTTAACTGCTGGACCTGAAATTATATAAAAGTTTTATTTTATGATTTGCATGTGAGTGTGTGTATCCTCTCTCTGTTACATAATACTTCATCTCAGAAATATAGACTGATCCTTTTAGTTTATAAAAATTTTAACACCCTACCAAATTTAAGTTCTTGTGACAAACACAAAAATCTAGTTAGCTTAATTAACTTTGTATTTGTACTTTTGTCTTTATTTGTATAATAAATGTTTTTCATTTCAAATTTTATGAAGTGGTTGAGTTTTATTTTATGATTTGCATCTATTTTGACCTCAAGGAGAAGAGAAGCTAACTAGATTTTTGTGTTTGTCACAAGAACTTAAATTTGGTAGGGTGTTAAAATTTTTATAAACTAAAAGGATCAGTCTATATTTATATATATGCAGACAAATTTGATTTTGTGCACCTATAAAGACAGAATGACAAATTTCTGGTGTTTCAAAAATGGATTAACCTCAAAAAATTGGAAAAAAAATTATGATTTCAATTTAGAAAAGGACACAAGGATTTTAAAAAGAAGGTAGAAAAACAAAGATGCTACCACCTTTTAGTAAAAACAGAAATGCCTACTTTTCCTTGCCCCAAGTGAATCTCTGGGACATATAGCAAATTTAGAAAAGTCCCTAGAAAAGCTGCCTTGTAACCTTATGCCTTGATGTTAAATGCCTTCTGCTCCTTGATGTTAATTTGCTTTATCCCCTTGCTGTCAAAATGTTTCCTCTCTCATCCACTGACCTGAGTCCTTTTTATTTAGAAAAAGAGGCTCACAGAAGACTCCATTCAAATTTTAACAAGGGCTTCAGATTGCAGCTCTTATTGGCCATAAAATACAAAAAAAAAACAACTTGAAATGGAACCTTAACAGTTTTGGCAGCTTTTAACTGCTGGACCTGAAATTATATAAAAATGTAACAATTTTCTTAAAATTTCACTTCTCTCAAGAGAAAGTGCACACAAAAAAAACAAAAAAACTAGGCAATTAAACATTTATTCAAGACTAACATTTTTTAAGTAGTAAAAATAAAATTTTTATAAGTTACTTGACAAAAGTATTCAGAAAACTACTTGACTAATCATGAAAATTTTAGTATGTAGATGTTTACTACTTGATAAACATTAAGGATTGATTGATTGGTTTGTTTAACGGCATATCAACTCCTTATGGGTCATTAATGCTGAAATTTAATTTTCTTGGGAGCTCTGAAGTAATAAAAATATGATATATGTTATTCTGCTTTCACAACTGAATACATGGTAGATGATACTCTGATTTTGCGTATATACATGTTTGTGGGGACATAATTACTGAAGGCGGTGATATGTGTGTTTTATGTTGTAGTATTGTTGACATTATATTTTGGAATACAGTTTGATTTCTTTAAGAAATTGTAGGATATTATATGGATTAATGTCATGAAAGAGTTCTTTCATGTTAGTTGATTTTGTTTAGCGACATATCAACCTCTATATGTATTGTTGGTAATTTTCTATATAAAAATGTATTTTTATACTTTCATAGTGTTTTGTTTTTGTTTTGTTGGTGGGTAACTATTTGGCCATAGGTCAGACCCTAACAGGTGCTACCAACTCAAGTCAGAGTAGACCTGGGAACCACAGCAATTAAGATGTGGTTCCATGCTCTTCCAAACCTCCCAATCAGAGGCCTTGCTGCTGGATGTAGTTTATCATCAGACCCAGGACTAAAATATCAAGGAAAGATATTTTGTGGTGTGTTCAAATACCCCACAAAAAGATTGTATTTGCCCAAAAAGAATTACACACATATAGACTCAATCATAGAATTTTTTTTTTTTTTGATCACAGCAAATGAAAACACAAAATTATCTCTTTATGAAAGTTAGTTTCATCCATCTTGTTTTCTAGCGACTCTAAAAATAGAACTGGAAAATTTTTTTTCATTAAGAGAGAGAAATTGTCATAAGTTTCAGGGCTTGATTTGGGGTTGTAAAGGGGTACATCTGTGCTGTTTTTCTGCAGGGAGTTCAAGATGACTAAATATTTGAAATGCAACAAGAAAGGCTAGTTAAGTCCTAAAGTCTGTTATTTACTTTTGCTCATATTAAGTGTTTTTTGTTTTTCCATTTTGTCTTTTAGCTGGAACAATACAAAAATGTTGTGTTTTATGGCCCTCGTTACACACAAAAGAGGAAATTATCACAACAAATTGCCAGGTACATTGCGGTAAGTAAATTTAGAGTATTTTTATAAAGCTAATGTGGCAAAGAAAAAAATTATTAAAAATCTCAAGTAACTTTAATATTTGTTGGGAATTAATAGAAAAATATTCCTTAAATCCAATTAATCCCTTATTTAGTAAAGAATCAAGTTCTATAGGTCATCCCATTTAATGAACTTTGTTTTATTAAATCCAAGACCAACATGCAAATGACCAAAGTTATGTAAAACTATAAAATATCAAATAAAACAATCATACATACTTTTAAAATTTTTGCCAAATTTTGTCAAAAAGAAGTCTCTACTAGTTCTGAAATCTTCTTTGAACAGCCAGACGTCAGTTTACCTGGAAAGAATCAATGCAGTTATTAATAAGAAGAGTTGAAATGAATGGAGGCAAGGTTTCACAGTTCTAGCATCACTCCTTCATAGTCAGCATAGGCAACAATACACTCTTGGAAAATAAAAATCTCGTTGGCATTAAATAACCCATTAAGGTTGATATGCTATAAACCAAACCAAATAATTGCCAGAAAATTTTTTTAAAGTGTTGTCTTTATAAGATGTAATGGGGTTGTAAAAAAAAATGTTCTGAAATTAACAAACCTTTATTTGGCACTTGAAAGAAAACTTTTTATTTTTAAACTAAAGTTCATCCAATACAAGGCTCAAGATTAACTCAAGATAGAGAGTTAGTGAATAAGGTTTGTGATATGAATGTAGGGGGAGAAACTAGGAAGTGAACAATATAAGGATATGGAGGAGAGATAGCAATATTACAAATGAAAGATCGCTATATGTGGCAACTTGATTTATAACTGTGAGTCTCATACTTAGCTAAACCTGAGTTGATATAAAATGTAACCAAGCAAGTGATTTTGTTTATTTGGAATATTTGGGTTTTCAAAAATTTTTTTTATTTAAATCAAATTTAAGAAATCCTAAAAAGTAAAGATTTTTTTTTTTTATCCGTTATATTTCAAAGGCTAAAGAAGCGAAAGATGGCTGTTTTGCTTCAATTATTTACGTCAAACTTCATCCAAATTACACCAAACAAGACATCAACAAAATGTTAATTGAAAATGGTAAGTAATCTTCATTTCTTCAGCTTGATTCCTTATTACAAAACCAGGAACTAATCTCTATCATATAAATATTGAAGACAGACTGGCCACAAATGTACACGAATGACAAATGTAACCTAGTCTACATGGCAACACAGCACCATCTACTGTAAACTTTAAATTTAATAACTCAAAAAAAATGACGGATTTGCAGACATATGTTTATATGGACTTTTGTCCTTGTTTTGGTGTGAGGAACCCACCCCCAAAAGTTTGTAAAAATACTTTTGATACATACATACATACATACATACATAGGATGTATGTGCGTGTGTGTGTACATATATGCACAGTGGAGTAGCGGATTCCAGTCGAATCCATTACATTCACTTACATGCTTGGGAAAGGTATTAATCCTCTTCTTTTCCCTCCAGCTATAGGTAAATAGCAGGACAGACTGGGTTGCCAACTGGTCTAGAAGAAGGACAACTCTGAATTCAAAACCTGCGAGGGGACCTTGTGGTACGTAGTGCAGCAGGTCTCTGTATTCGGCCTTTCAAAAAGTGTGGATGGTTCTGCACAAAGCCTTCACCACTATAATCAAATCATGTGTGCTGGTGTCTGGGCTGCCATTTCCTAGGAACTGAGCTGCTTGGCCCTCATACATTGAATATGATAGATTTCTCATAGCATTTTTTCAGATTACATCTCTATTTTCGTTGTCCTCTTATTACTGAGAAGTAAAAACATGAACAAAATCTATTTCCATACCTGAGGATGTCTGTAGGAACAGATGAAAGCTTGTAAAAAATTAAAAAGACCTTATGCAACTGGAATTTATGAACAGGGATCATATCATTCATATACAGGTTCGGGGTTGATGTATCTTATTTATATTGTTTGCGATGATGTATTCTTGCCATTTAAATCATTAACCTCTATATTTGTTTTTTGTATGAATGATTCATGAATATATATATATATATATATATATATAAAATGTGCACAGGGTGCAATGGGTAAATTGTCGCCATTTTATATTTTTTATTTTGTGCATGCATGTTGTTTGTTATTGATTTTGTCGACTGCATAGTATAGTATGGTCAGCTGAGCACTAAGAGAAAAAGAGCACCGTGACGCAATTTACTCTGCCAGAAATTTGCAAACGGCATAGTTTACTGCTTGACATTCATGCCAGAAGCTCCAATACAAACATTTCAAAGTGTTTGTGTGTCAATCTGAGGACAATGCAGAGGATTCAGAATGAGTTGGAGAAGTTTCACTTAAGGGCACAATTTCACCTTGTCTGATCAACTGGTTTTCTGTAGCTCAGTTGATTAGAGTGTGTGCTGGATTTAACAATAGCTCCTTCTGCCCATAGGGATGTAGGTTTGAATCCTGCCAGAGAGTGTAAATTTTCATGAACATTCAGGACAGTAGATGAAAATAAATATACTGTTTAAAGAGAGTGTCTACTCAAATATAAGTATCCACTAAAAATAACATTTAAAGTGATTAAAAAAATCTGTTGGATTAATTAAAACTCATTACTTTCTTTAGAAAAAAAATCATATATAATTTTCAGATAGTGTAAAAGACAAGATGAAAACTATGCTTATTGAACACGTTTTGTCCTCTGAAGGACTTTATCAACACAAATATAGGACTTATTTTGTTGCATGTGTTTATATACAAAAGCAAGGATTTTGTTGGTTTATCAATAAATGAATAGTCATCAGGAGGTTAAAGTTTAAATCCAAATTAGAGACATGTCATAATAGATCATTCCATTTTAAATAAATCAACAATGTTTTGCAACAATTTTTAACGTTAACTTGAGATTTTTCTTATTAAAAATTTTAACATATTCAACATTCTCTATTTTTTTTTTATCCATGGTGTTTTTTTGAGACATAGCATGAACAAAAAGTTGTTTTTTTTTGTAAAGTAGAAGACATCAAATGTACATATTAAGTATGTGTTTGATTGTATATGTGTGAAAGTTCAGTTGTCAATAAGCCAAGGAAACAAATTTTATGTCTGTTACATTTTGGAACTAGAGGAAGAAAATGTTTGACCTTTTATAGACTTAAGCAGCGCCACCTAACGGGTGTTTTGGCAAAGCCAATGTTTAAAAATAAGTTGGAGCAAAAATAATTCTTTTTTTTCACTATTAGGCTACAAACTTAATTACTTACCTACATATTTGCTGTTAGGCAGAATATATAACTTATGAAAATTTCATGGGTTTCCATTTTAATGAATCTTAATTATTAAATTAATGAGCGAATATGCTCATGGTGCATTCTACGAAAATAAAATATCCGTAGAAATTTCCTTAATGCATCATTAAATATTTGAGCCAAACAACTTTAACAAAATTGAATATAATAATCATAAATATGAATGTTGGTCATTATTTTAAGAAGTAAGGGGGTACAAATGAACCTCTAACCTTTTTGTCAGTTGCCTCTGTCTACGGTTTTGTCAGGATAAAAAAAAAATATTGATTGTTTTTATAATTCTAGAAAGGGGGTATTATTTATAAATACAGTGTCAAATTGATCCCAGATTTCATAAAGTTATTTGTATTTTATCTTATTTACAAATGTCAAGTTTGAAGCTGTGCATACATCATTGATAACTGCATACTATTATGAATTTGGGGTGGGGAGGTAGCATCATTTATACTGTTATTAATGATGTAAGCATGGTTTCAAACTTGACATTTGTAAATAAAAATAAAGTATGGATAACTCTTTATAAAATCAGGGATCAATTTTATACCATATTTATATATTAAACAATACCCCACTTCTAAAATGATAAAACAAAATCAATATTTTTAAATTCTGACAAGAACCTGACGATAAACTACATCCAACAGCAAGGACTCTGATCAAGAGGTTTTGAGAAGTGTGGAACTGCCTCTTAATTGCTGGTGTTCCCAGGTCCACCCTGACCTGGGGTGATAGCACCTATTAGGGCCCCAACTATGGGCAAATAATCCCACTAAAACTGGGGTTAAAATACTATGAAAGTGTAAAAATAGGTTTTAATACCAGCAATACATTTTTGTAAAAAAATTATTACTAGCAATGAATTTTTGAAGGAAAAATATTACTAGCAATACATTTTTGAAAAAAGAAATATTACAAGTAAGACATTTTTTGAAACAAAACAAAACATTAGCTGCAATACATTTTTGAAAAAAATATTATTAGCAATAAAAATGTTGTCAGCATTAAATAACCCAGTGAGGTTGATATGTCGTATAACAAAGCAAACCAAACTGACAAGAACCATGGCTTCAGGAATATCTAATGAATATTAATTTACAAAAATTTTCCTCAAAGAATTCTTTCAGTTGTTATTCTATAATTTTTTTTTTTTTTAATGAATGGACCAGTTAATCTAAATAGTGCCTAAAATATGAATCCGAGATTCAATAGATAAGCTTGTCACTTTTATGGATTGTTAAACTTTCTTTGTCAGGTTGCATGGTCCCAATAAAAACTGAAAACACCAATCGTCTTGCTCGGATTCTCATCCTTGATGGATTAGACAGGATCAGTATTCCTGATGTCCTGCACAATTTGCTTGAGGCTATTGAACACCGAGGACAAAGGTATACCTTCAAAGTGACCTCAGGTTAGTTCATCCACTCTTATTTTTTTATTATTGAAATTTTGTGCTTCTCTCAGTAAAATCTCAAACACATGGTTACTTAGAATGACAGAAATGTTTGCCACAGTTAATTGATTAATGCCCAGGACACACCACTGATGCCATGGCTGTAGTACATGTTGTGCCTCTACAACTCCCAGGGGTTACGGGACTTATGATTGTGAATTGGTTAATGTTTCTAGCCAGTCTCCTTTCTGGCTTTTATAGTCTAAGCCTTCATTAATAGCACTTCTATCATCTGTGTTTGATGTACAGAGATATGTATACACACTTTTATAGGGTATAGCTCAAGACAACTTGCCATGTGTCCTTAAGGATGTTGGTTAGATAACTGACATCCATTAGACATGACACATGGAACTAGAACAGTCTACCCCAGTGAGCGAAATAAAGGATTCAGTTCAACATTCCAACCACCTGAAGAAGGCTGGAGCATACAGCGGCTGAAATGTTGTGATAAATATAGCAACAAAGATGAGGATGATAGTCAGAATAATGTAAATAGCGTACAAAAATGCAGTTAAAGTTCAAAGGAGGTGACAAAGAGAATTCCAATCAGATCCACCCATGTGGCTTACAATCCCACAAATTAGAGATGAGTTTGAAACTGATGGTATTGTACACAATGTGCACAAGAACTGATTTGGAAGAGCATGGATATCAGCCATGCGCAGTGAAGCAAGAAAAGGAGATTGAAAATTTTCACAGAAGTCCTAGAAACCTATTTGTTGTGTATGATACACCTAATTTACATAAATGGAGTACCGACCATATAAATATGGGTTGGTACCGGAAGACTCTGCCCGACTGCGATTTAGTCAACCCATTATGCAGGAACAGTCTTCCCAAGAATATACCAAAACTAACTGTAAATATTGTGTACCTTTTCCTTGTTTCAATACATTTTGTTAACGTACATTTTGTGTTGTATTATTATTATTCCATGCTTATCCAAGTTTCAACACTATTGAAATGTTGATTGCTGCTTGTGATTCCATTGCATTGTTTTGTCAGCAACGTATGGATCATAATGAACATCAATTTAAAAACATGCGATGACAAAATCTTAAGAGCGTGAATTAAATTTACTGTGCCTGAGCGATGAAAACACTTTCTAGACATTTTTGTCTTAGTGAATTATTTTCTCTTTTAATTAGAGTTGCATTTTTTATGTCAAAATTGTGGTCAGCATATACAGTGATGCATAATTGATTAGTATGGATTTTATCATGCTATGAATTTTACTAAATTTATGTCAGATAGTGAAAAGAAGACATCCTGATATGTATTATAAATTGCATATAATTTTCACACTTCTATTATTGACAGATTAAATAAATTTTTTTTCTATTTTGTGTTTCATAGATGATGACACTAACCTGACTTGTTTCCTGGTTGACCGATTTTATGTGATTGGTACCATGAATAAATTACGGTAAGTATTCAGTCTTTCTTGTATTTCATTCTTCCACATTCCTCAGTGTTAATAACATTACTGTTGAGTGTTTCTTCTTTCATGATTCATTCCTGCAGCCCAAATCAATACAAATTCTTAATATATGTCTTGTATTCCTCTATAATACCTAGACTTTATGTATTTCAACAGAGTACTAGATTGGCGGCAAGATCTCCTCATTTTACAATTGAAATAGCATAGTACTTATGGCTTCTTCTATCACACTTCTCGCTCATGGAACTCTCTTCCAGCTTCTTGCTTCCCAGTCAACTTTGATCTTCAAAAATTTAAATGCAATGTCAATCGTTATCTTTTGTCTTCTTAATTCCTGTTCTTTTATTGTCCTCTCTCATTAATAGTAGTTTTTCTAATATTCTCTAACACTCAGTAACCCTTTGCGTCTTAGTGGCTTTATTGCCGTTGATCTTCAAAAATTTAAATGCCATGTCAATTGTTATCTTCTGTCTTCTTAATTCCAGTTCTTTTTATTATTCTCTCTCCTTAATAGGTTTTTTTTTTCTCTAATACTCAATAACCCCCGCCTTGCATCTTAGTGGTTTTATTGTCTTGCGTGAGGTGAAATGATTAAGAAAAAAACAAATATCAAAGGCATGAATGTTATATCAGAAATATCTCCCGCATAATGGTAAGACATTAGTAGCAAAGGAGCCTTCATCTAACACACGTCTCACCCTTATGTGGGAGGCATTTCTGCCATACCATGTATATATTAAATATATCACATTTATGGCTGGAAGGACTTCATATATTTCACAAAAACTTTTAGATCAAAATCCAAATGAACTGCCAAGATTCTGGATTTCCATCTAAACCCTAAACACAAGCTGCTAGTAGCCTGGATTTCTATCTAAACCCTACGCTGGTGGGTCACCAATGGCAGTACCCATGGTCCTCTAGTGGCAGCCACCAGGTAACTATTGGTGGGCCTCTAATAGTCTGCCAGTGGTAACATTGCAGAGACAAATACACCAGTGGTCTGACAGCACACCACTAACTGTAAATGCTAGTGGCATGCCATCCATTGACAGATTGGGGGGCTTGCATGTAGGGAAGATCTTAGAAAAAAAAGTACCAAGGATGAAAGCTCATTAGAACAAATCCTGATTCATAATTGTCTCACACCTTGGAGGAACCCCTTTCTAACTGATCAATGACCATGTCTTCAGGGGTGTAACCATACTCACCATGCTTGGCCAGTTGTGGGTTGGTGAAGCTATTTAACTTATAGTTCGAAGTTTTGAATTCAGAGTTGTCATCGTGGACTGGTTTCCACTCAAGGCTGTACGACCCAACCATTCACATTATAACCAAAAAACAACAGATTTTTAAAAAAAATAAATCCACATTATAACCAAAAACCTTTGCGGTTTCTCTCTTTTTAAAATATATATTCAAACAGGTTTGGTTAAATAATTTAGGAGATTGCATCTCTGATAATGTTATGGAGTGATTCCACAGTGGAGGCTTGTATTTGTACTAAGTTGGTCCTAAAATAGGTTCGACATACAAAACGTTAGGAACTTCATATAATAGGTATGACACAGAGAAAATCTAGTTGTGGTTGCTGATACTTTAGTAATTTTATAACATATTTATGTTATAAATTTTAAAAAAAAAAAATACTTATATCTGCTTTACTTTGTATTGAGCACTCTTTTAGGAATAGTAATTGTTGGTTATTGGAATTCATTCCGTATACACCAATTATATACTTGTATGTATATATATATATATATATATATATATATATAAAATTTTCATTACACACTCACACACACATATATTTTTTCATTATATACATATATATATATGTATAATTTTCATATATATATATATATATATGTATAATTTTTATATTATCTATATATATAATTTTCATTATATATATATATATATATATATAATTTTCATAAATGACTATCCTGATATCATCAGTTCTCAACTCAGTATCTATGCTGATGACTGTTGTGGAGACTTGTATTTGTACTAAATCGGTCCTAAAATAGGTTCGACGTACCAAATGTTAGGAACTTGATATAATAGGTATAACGCAGAGTAATTGGGTTGTGGTCGCTGATACTTTCGTATTTGACTGTCATCCGACATCGACTGACTGACTGGCCAACTGACTGACTCCCTCGTTACTCTTAGTACTCCTACTTATTATAGGTGGGAGAGTCTATTAACTATAGAATAGGTGTGTTTCACTATAACAGATAAAAATGTTAATATGTATGTTGGTGTTACAACAACAAAGCTGATGAGAAGGCTTGTTTCAAAGGAACACTCATATCCACATTCACAGTTTAGACAGATATTAGTTGAAAATACTTCAATATTCCATCAAAATAATAAGCAAAAACTTAAAATCCTAGATGCCTTTTATATAAGAGAATTATAGCCCCAAAAATAGTCAACTACGAGTATAGCCACAAAGTTCTTTAATGTTTTGTTGTGTCGTGGCACAATAGTAAAAATAAGAAAATCAAGTCGAAGTTGGTTTAAAGAACAAGTGTATTTAACATCACAGATACAAAGGTAGGAAATGGGTACTACTCAGCTAGGCAGTTGTAGCTGAGAAGGGAAGCAGTGGAGGTCACTGATAAATTCCACAACTCCTGAACCACAACACAAGAACCTCCAGCTTCAGCCTTGAGCCAAACTTACAAAATCAGTAAAATAAATTTTGCTAACTCCGCTAACCAAAACTTACCAGCTTACCCTGCGTCCAATTTAGGAACAGGTTGGGTCAACAAACACCTGTATGTGAACACAGCTACTAATAATGCATGGAGAATTGATATAAAAATATGTCACTGCTTATACCGGGTAGGTATTACTGGCACTATATATAGTGAGAACCGGTGTAATTCCCTTGTGTTAGAGGCCGGTGCAACATGTTTGTAGCAGAAAAGTTTCATATATATATATATATATATAAAAATAATAATAAATAGATAAATAAATACAAAAGTTACCTCCCTTGCATAGGGTAAAAAAGACTACCCACATATTTCATTATAGTGGTGAAGGCTTTTGTAGAACCAACCACACTTTTTGGAAGGGCCGAATACAAAGAACTGGTGCACAATATGCCACAAGGTCCTCAAATGACCCTCTGCATGTTTTGAATTCAGAGTTGTCATTCTCCTAGACTTTTGCCACCCAAGGCTATAGGACCCAGGCTGTTCTGCTATTTACCCATAGCTGGGGGGGGGAGAAGAGATGGATTCATACCTTTTCCAAGGGTATTGGCATATAAGTGAATGTAATGAACTCAACTGGAATTTGAATTCAGCTCCCACCATGCCTCCATTTCCTTCCAGCCCTCGTTTGAACTTCCTCAGTAGTTTATCTTTTATTATACTGCATCTAGATTTAAGAATATCTTAGAACATTCTCAAATTTAAAATCTGAAAACTTAATGTTTTCTCCGCCTAACTTTTGACTTACCCTTGTACATAAAAAAAAAAAAAAAATCAGCTCTTTCACCATGACGTATCTTTAGGTTTGCCATACTGCCTTCTGCTCATGATTGAAGTTTGCACCCAGTTTTCTTGCTGTTGTTACAGTGTAAATATGGCCTCTCTGCTAGCAGCATACATCAAGGAGGAGGGGATCTGAATTTACAGAGAACAATCTATTACCATCCTTCAAGCTTACTGAATCTTCTCATCCTTGGTGGAGGTTGATAAGCGTCCTCTTCCTTCTTCATGCATCACACTTGTCTGGCTACTTCTCAATCCACTCATACACACTTTTACATGATAGCCGACTGTTGCCGTATTGTGTTAAAAGCCTCTGATGAATTTCATCCTCTGACACACCTTCCAACTAGAAAAATCAGATTACTGTTCTTTGTTTCTCCTTGGTGTACACTGCTAGTGAAGCAGCCATGTTTACACTGTAGCAGCAGCAAGAGACTGGCGTGATCAAGCTCATACTTTAATCACATGACCACAATAGGACCCACTATAAGCACACATGAGCAGAAGACAGTTTGACAAACATAGATATATTATGGCAAAAATGTGGATAATTTTTACTTAACCTCATATAAATATAAGTTACAAAATAAAATTTCCACATTTACCTTGATAAATTTCCTAGTTCCTTAGGGAACAAAACAACACTTGTACAGAAAAGTTTCCTTATATATATGAAAAATTTCTCAGAGTTAACCTGTAGAAAAGCAATATGTATAAAGGTAAAGACAATAGGAAAACTGTATTATTAGCCAACACATTTTGTCCAGTGTGAACTTTTTCAAGGCAAAAATGAAATGAATTTATTGAAAACAAAGTAACTATTAACAACAAAATGTCCTTAGCAACTAGAAGAATTTAGAAAATGGTATTGTATTCATATTGCCAACTAAAAATTATGTCAAGTACTGTCATATGTGGAAATATTTTTTTTATTGTTCTGTTGACAGATTCAACCATTTTCTTTTGATTTCTTGATACAGTTGTGTACATTTGCTTGGGAGAGAAGTAATTCTGTTGGGTAAGGTGAAATAGGGAAAAAGCCTGGGCATAGATTAATATTTGGATAATATTCAATGATGGCACTCTCAAGGATTTTCCTTCTGAGTGAATTATTTTCTTTTTTTTTTTGAGTGTAGCACTTTTAAAATCAAAAATTGAGGTTGAATTTATTTCTATGTATGACTAGTGCATTAGTTGTTTTTTTGTGAGGTCTCTTTTGTGCTCATAGATATGTTTTTTTAAATTTCTGCTTGTTTCTCCAATATTTTAGGAGGAACACTTTTAGCAATTTATTTTATAAATGTCTGCTTCAGAAACATTGCTATTAGTGTTTGAGGATCTGATTATATCCATAATAGTTTTGGAAGTGTTTGATTATTTTAAGATTATTTAGATGTGATAGGTTGTTCTGGATAGTGGACATGTTTGTTGTTAATAGTTACCTTGTTTTCGTTTTTGCCTTGAAAAAGTCTGCATTGGATGAAATGCATCAGCTAATAATACAGTTTTCCTATTCTCTTTTACCTTTAGATAGATAAATATAAATTATATATATATATATATATATATATACAAATGTTTGGAGGTACAAAATTTATAAATAGTTTTAAAAACTAGGAAACCATTGATTTTATTATTAAAAGTCTCTAGAGCCCTTTCAGCCAACATCTCATCAGGAGACAATCGTTGGATTAGCGAAATGAATAATAGCGATATTGAAGAGCAAAAAAAAAAAAGAGGGGGAAACACACTAAAATAACGAACAAGTATATATACTTGTAACGAGGGAAGGGTTATCGTGTAAATAAATAGCAAGCGACAGTTAAAATAAAATATCCCCAACAGATTCAGAGACCTTATAAATTCTTTCTGCCGGCAGAGAGAAGGTTTTCTAAATCCTATACAGACCGATTCCAAAATCTTCAAATGATTATTAGAATCGGCTGTATGAATAATTCTAAACCACTCTTTTTTTATACAACTTGGCACAAGCTATATTCTCAACTAAATGTTGAGCAATAGCGATTCCATATTCATGGGGGAAGATAGCATATTCTATCTATCTTACCAAGTCGTATTTTGGAAGGAACGTGCTGATTAATTCTAGTTTCCAAATGCAAGGTTATACGCCCCACATAACCAGCAGCACACTGGCAATTAAATTCATATACTAAATTACTCAATTTGATGTAGGGCAATACATCCTTGCGAAAAAGACGGAAACGCAGACCTAGTTTGAAAAATGCTACGTAAAAGCAACTGATGGGAAACAACCGAAACCGACTTGCTAACCTGCTTAATTAAGCCCTGACCACTATCCCCAATCAGGAATCTTCAAATAAACCGGACATTTAGAAGGCCCCTGGACTTTAGGGGAATGAAATTCCTTAGTTTTCTTACTAATAATAAAGTCAATAAGGGCCTCCGGATAGCCGTTACTAAGGAAAATCTCCCTAATGTTCCCAAATTCACGGTCCAATCTAATAGGGGAACACACTCTTTTTTTTTTTTGCTCTTCAATATCGCTATTATTCATTTCGCTAATCCAACGATTGTCTCCTGATGAGATGTTGGCTGAAAGGGCTCTAGAGACTTTTAATAATATATATATATATATATATATATATATATATATACACACACAGTATCTGGAAATGGTAAGTGCAATCTGAAATGTGGCCTTATGTCAAACTTGACAGCATTTACTAAAGAATTTTTTTTTTTCTTTTCTCAGATTGTCAGGGTTGAAAGTATCTGTTCAACAACGTTTCCGCTGGGTGCAATTTCGTGTTAATATGGAACCAATTCTTGGCCTTTTGGCTCGGCATCTCCTCGTTCGTGTCTTACAGTGTAACCATGGAAAATTGCCTGCCTCATCTGATCCAGTTTACCGAGCTGTTGAATGGGTCATTAGCGTATGGCAGAAACTGAATGACTCCCTTTCAAAATTGGGCTTGCCTGATGCCATTATGGGTCCAAGTCTCTTCATGTCTTGTCCTGTTCAGAGTGGAAAACCAGAAGCAATTTATCGGTGAGTTTGATGATATGAATAAAACGTTCCTTATCTGCATTATGTTGGTGACAAATCCTAGTATATAACACATATATGAGAGTCAAGTACTGAAAAGCTCTTGAGCAAAAACACTTCCCATGACTTTAATAAATCTTATTTGGTTAGTACTGAAAACTGCTGTGCCTGACCAACAAGCCCTTCAAGTTATATGAGTACAGACAATCCTTAAAAATCCTTTCAGTTATAATTTATTTCATGAGTTAAGAAATAATGAAGAGATGAATATTTTTATATTCATGAAATAAATTATAACTGAATGGATTTTTAAGGATTATTTGTACTCATTATTATATTGCTCTGTTACTTACATTAATCCAAAGAAACTGAATGGATTTTTAAGGATTATTTGTACTCATTTACTTACATTAATCCAAAGAAAGAGAGCTCAATGTTCTCCTTGGAATTATCCTTACTAATTATCAATTGTTATATATATATATATATATATATTCATACATGTTTCATTAAATAATATAGACAAGTGTTGTCTATTTATTTTATGTAAATTCTTTTCATAACATCTGATAAGCTTAATAATATTACCATTAAACGAACAAAGAAAATCACAATATTGATACATATTTTTTAATCCAATCTAAGCTTTCGGCTTACATAAGCCATTATCAAAGATGACAATTACTGTACAATATATTATGCAATACACAGACAAGAATGTGATGATAGTCTGTTTTTGTTTACATGGATAATTTCCAAGCAACAATAAAGACGCTGGAAGCGAAAATCGCACTGCAGCTCCTGACATCACACATGACCACACGAGAGTGAATTCGAGAAGTATTAAGTATGGGAATCCGTTCATATAAACCAATGGCTTCTGTTACTAATTATAGACATTTAAGGATATTTGTAGAGATTTCATAGTTTATTTTGTTTAAGTTAGTTTTCAACTGTTTTATGTATATAGTTTCAAGGATTTTTAGTTTTTGCTTATTGTTTTCATGTTTAAGTATAATTGTGTTTTCAACAAGGATTTTATGGAATTGCATATGTGGCCAGGCTTGTTGTTTTAGATACCTAAAAATGTTAGAGCTTTCATTCAAATGTAGTGTCAAGCATCGTGAAAGCGAGTTTGTGGTGTGACCAACATAAATATTATTTAATTCGTACTGAACCCGTGGAGACACCATCACGTTATATATATATATATATATATATATATATATATATATATGTTATTATGATTAAAGAAAGGGACTTCAGTAGTACAAGCTAATAGTAATTTCCGTAATATATTAGGATTAATTTTAAGTGGGGGTAAAGATGAGTTACTGTATATATTTCTTATAATTATGTCAATAGTTTCACTAACAGGGACATTGGTAAATAAGTTTTCAACATCAAGTGAAGCCATGATTTCATTGTTGGGTTTTTCACTTTTTAGGATTTGGATTACTTCTAATGTTGACTTAACACTATATTTACTAGGAAGATAGGGAGTAATAAGTTGGTTGATGTATTTTGTTAGATGATATACAGGAGTTGGAATTTGCGATATGATAGGATGGAGAGGATAGTTAGGTTTATGTGTTTTTATAGTGCCGTATATGTAGCCAGGTCTATAATCACCAACAATTTTAGGGAGTTTTAAAGAGTTCTGTTCAGCATTATTAGCATTAATAGGTTTATTAAGCTTTGATTTTAGTTGGTTGGTTGGGTTCTTGTTAAGTTTTTTTAAACTGTATGTGGTCAAGTTTTTTGTTGTAATCCAATTTGTTTAGGATGACAAAAATGTTGGTCTTATCAGCTTTTTTTATGATAATGTCAGGGTGGTTGCGTAGTTCTTGTGCGGCAATTTTCAGTTGTTTAGAAAATATTTTTGAGGAGTTTCTGCTTTTATCATGCCGATCCTTGAATGCCTCGGTCTTAAGTAAGTCTTTAAATTCTGGTGGAGTTTCTTTTAGTTGTTCATCCTGGAGTTTAACAATGTTTTGGTATAGGGTCTCAATTTCTATTTTTTTAAAAAGTCAATTGTACTTAGGGTATATATGGCAGTTAGGTCCAAGGTTAAGTAATTCTTTTTGGTGCTTAGTTAGTTCATAGTTGGAAAGGTTAATGTATTTATCAGTTTTGTTAGGAAGAGTTATATTACCTTTGTATAATGTATTCAGTTTTTTTATAATTTTAAATCGGTGTTGAGCTTCAGATTTGTTGGTAATTTCTGTGAGTCTATGCGTAATTTCCTTCAGTTGTATAAAAATAAATGCTCAACGTAAAGTTCAGAAAATTGAACTTGCAGAGCAGAAGAAAATATTTTACCTTCATCTTTTTATAATATATATATATATATATATATTAGACATGATCAACACCGAGTGGCGACAGTCCGTTTTATATGATCTGAAGTTTGTGTTATATTTGCTAAGTTTTGGATTATCAATTCAAATGTGGGTGTCCACTAAAAATAACATTTGAAGTAATAAAAATCTGCTGGATTAAAAAAATAAATTCCATTAATTCTTTAAAAATTGTTTTGTTTACATTTCAGCCATGAAATTGAGCAGATATGATTTTTGCAGAAATCTGAACAAGTGAATGTTCATTAAGACAAATAGTACCTTACTTGACTGTGAAGCTCTTCGTGATCAAATTAAATTAAAGAATTGATGGATATTATATTTTTTAATTCAACATATTATTACTTTAAACATTATTGAAATGTATTGGATTAAAAAGAAAAACATCCATTAATTCTTTAGAAATTGCTTTGTTTACATTTTGGATTGCAAGAAAATCTGAACAAGTGAATGTAATTTAAAGTCAAATAGAACCTTTGCTCAACTGAAGCAAGGAAACAATAAATAACTCAGAGAGGTTGATATGCTGCTAAATGAAAACAAGCAGCTAGAGGTGAAAACTCACCGTGGGGCACATTTTCTTTGGTTTCTCAAGAGTGCAGACCTACAGATGAAATAAATATTGTTTAAAAAGGAAAGAAAAACAACAAACAAAACTTTTCCCTCCAGAATCTATCTTACATATCAATAAGTCTACCATTCGTCCATGCTTAGAATATTGTGCCTTCTCGGGTTAACGTTCTCAGTTGACATGAAGTGAAAAGACTATATTAAATCCATTGCTAGGTCAGCTGCTAAGAAAATTGGTTCACTGTGTCGTACGAGACAATTTTTGTCTCCAGAATCTATCTTACATATCTATAAGTCTACCATTCGTCCATGCTTAGAATATTGTGCCTTCTCGGGCTAACGTTCTCAATTGACATAAAGTGAAAATTCTATATTAAATCCATTGCAAGGTCAGCGGCTAAGAAAGTTGCTTCACAGACAATTTTTCTCTCCAGAATCTATCTTACATAAGTTAACCATTCGTCCATGCTTAGAATATTGCTGCTACATATGACCCAGTGCCCCTGATTTACCTTGATAAAATCCAAAGAATCAGCAATATTATTGGTCCTGATCTGGCAGCTCGGCTTCAGTCACTTTCATACTGCTGTAAGGTTGCCTCTCTTTGCATATTTCATAGGATGAGCTCTTTGTTATAGTACCAAGACTTTTTAAATTTAATCGCAATACTAGACTGGCATTGAGTACATTGAGCTGGATAGATGTAACTGTAAGTTCTATGCTAACAGTTTCTTTTCTCGCTTGTAAAACCCCCTTCCAGCTCCATGCTTTCCAGCCAACTTTAATCAGCAAAAATTTAAATGCAATGTCAATCACCATCTACTGTCCACCTGATTACTCTTTTCCCTTTCCACTCATTATTAATGTTCCTAATTCTTCCATGCCCAGTAACCCCTTGTGTCTTAGTAGCTTTACTCTCTTGCATGGAGTGAAACCAATTAAGAAAAAAAAAAAAAAAAGACAAAGCAACAGTAATAAGGTAAAAAGTTAAAGAAAGAATGATGCCTAGACTCAATGAATTTAAGCTCAGCACTAGACTGGCATCAAGATCTCATTAATTTACAGTTGAGCTAGTGATTTTATTGAATAAATTTACTCTTTAGTATTTCAAAATATTTTTGTGTAATTTTGGTAAATATATCTATTAAAATGAGATGTCAGTATTATTTTAATTTTTTGCATCATTTAGACAACAATTCATCCATCACACCCTATATAATGAGAAATTCATTTACACACACACAAAAAGATGGATTCAAAAAAATATCACCTGAAGAAGGCCAGAGCATACAACGACAGAAATATTGTGAATATGGCAATAAAGATGAGGAGTCCAAACAATGTAAATAGTTACCATACCTCATCTCGGAAATATAGACAGACACTATCAAGTATACATATTATGTGAAGACAAACCATCAACAATCATAATTATGAATACAGGTGATTATTTAAAGAAGTAAGAGGATACAAATGAAATGATTCTCACTGAAGTATTTTCTTGCTTCATGTTTTGTAATGGTACCAAGTCTGTTCAGAATTGCTTCTTTTTTTGTGTAGAACTGCATTGCTTGTTCATAGACATGGGGTTCTTTTTAACATTCTTTCAGTTTTATGTAAGTTTCCATTCCATCAAGTATAGATTTTCCTTCTAAATTATTCATATTGAACCACATTTCATTTGTATATATTAATGTTTTATCAATGCATAAACTGAATGTAAAATTTGTCACTTGCTTGGCATCACATTCTCCTGTCGTTCATGTGTCCGTTTCTTATACTTCTTAGTATGTGACTTTTACCCGAGTTAAAAGACACCAGTTATATGTAGACTGTTTTTGGTTTTATTTTGTGGCATATCTCAAATGTTTTTCTTGCAAAGTCGTCTATGTCAGGGTGTATGTACCATTCCTTGAATACTTTTAGACTTTATAATATGGACCAGTATCCGTTTTTAGTTGGAATAATTCTCTTTTTTTTCTCTAATTTGTTCCCATGTTGGTGTAATTTTAGTTTTGACCTGCCCTACTGTAGCAGAACTTACTATTTTATTTAAGGTTCAGAGTTTTTCTG